AAAAAGATCTCTCTGTAAAAAGAGATTATTTGTATTTATATATTATATATTATAACAAAAAATCAGATCTAGCAATATATAACTCATTTAGACAGATCAATAATAGAATAACATTACAAGTTTCCAAATAAAGAAATAAACGAATGTTTACGTTTTCTATCGAGGATATTCTTGGCATTTGGATTAACATTCCTATGATGTGTGCAAAATTCGATATTGTAAATACAAATTTGAAGCTTTTTTAGATAGTATAAAAAACAAGATACAGAGTAATGAGAGACAACTGCGCTTGGCTCTTGTTTCCTTCTTGTTTTTTATATTATTTATATTAGTCATTTTTTTAATTTTTATTATTTTTAGATATATTAAAATAGATACATTAAATTTTCTTGCAATTTTGTTTTAATAATATATATAAAAGAAAATTACTTTTTTACGCACTGAATCTGAAACATTACTTTCATTCATAAAAATGGTAAGATCGAAAAATCGCATCAAATATCAATCGTTATCTAGAGAGAACAATTCTCTTCAATAACAATGTATTGATTTATATTTTTATATATATATTACACTTCTTTTTTTTAACAATTCTATTGTTGGAACTTATGTTCAACCATGTACGATTAATTACGTAACAGTATTAACAAACTTGCCGGTCTCGTAAGAAAATTGAACATTTCTTTTTTATCCGAGTTGTATTTATAATAATCTCTTATTCGGCTTAATTTTTATCAGATATCTCAACGTTTATAAAACTGCGAATGGTTATAATTGCATGATCCGGATAATGAGATTCAGAAAAGCTTTTTGGTCATATATGGATAATTTACTATTAAGGAATATTTGTAAAATCGTCAACATACATAATTATCAATTATGACAATTTTATCTCGACATGGCATAAATTTTTATAATGCTGGAATTTGTGAATATAAACAACAGAATGTATTCTGAGTGAGTACAGTGATAATGCAGCAAAAGGGTCTATTCTGATTTAAGTTCCTAACAAGCGAATAATATAGTAAAATATATAATTGCTAATGCATATATATAAAATTCTATAGTAAAGTTGCAATAGATTGGATATACAATATATAATTGCAACATGTATGTTCCTATATATATGCATATATAACAAAGTGTTATTTTGCCACTTTATAATCTTCTTGTCTCATATAATTACCAATCAACGATGCGATTTTATTCGATGCTGCCATCTTGGTTAAGAGAAAAATATAATTTAATGTGGTAACAGTTCCGCTAAAAGGCAAAGTTTTGTTAAAATAAAACTGGCTAAATGGCACGAAAATAATCGTGACAAAGTAGTTTCAATCGATATTTTATATCTGACTGATTCTCAACTATGTGGATTAGGATTCACGCCCTTTTACAAACACAAAACTGTATCTTATACAAAAATTCCGTTATTTCATTCGTTATATTTCGTTCTTTATTTTTCAATTGTACCATTTAAAAATGATCCCTGTGCAAAATATTATGTGGCAACAAACAGGCCCTTTTGTCATATGTTCACTGTAATGACATATAAGGAAATGAAAACTTAGCTATAGAGATTGTCATCCCCATCATTTTGAAAGGCTTGATTGCTTGAGTGTTATGTCGAGCATCACCTACTCCACTTTGTGGAAATCTACAAACATTTTTTTTATTTTTCTAATTGAAATCATGAATCAACAAATTGTTTTATGTTCATTTTAACAAATGCCATGCCCATATTAAATGGATCGAAAAACTATATAACTGCAATTTATTCAAATCAACATGTGAAAATATTATCTGTTGAAATAATTGATATGACATAAACAAATATGCCCTATTTAAAAAGAGTTAACATTTTTTACAAATCTCTTCTCCTTTTACTATCTCTTTTTCATATCTCATAAATAATTTATTATGTGCTAATTTTTGAAAGATTTGTATTGTTGATTTATCTAAATTAGATATACTTTATCAAATCTGATTTTTTGTTATTCATAGCTATATTTCTATGTATATTAATAGTCATCTTTTTAAGTTAAGGAGAAATGATAAATCGAGTTTTTAATTAAACAAACAACACATATCATTACTCAAGTTCAAAAATAGCTTCCATGGAAAACTTGACTTCCGTTTTTTTTCAATGTCAAGCAATAATCTTTTTCAACTCTTGTTTTATATACAAAAAAAATAAAATAAAGTAAATAAATATGCTTTATAAATTTGAGATAAGAATTGTTCTAAGAATTTACCTATCATTTACACTTGTAACAACTTTTGTCACGATATATATAAGTCCATACCACAAACAACAGTACCTTTTTGCAATCTGAATTATAGTTCACTTTCTAAAGTTCGTTCTTGCTAACATCTGTTTAAGCATTTAACTCCATGAAAAATTACACTTCCTGATCCTGTAATAAATATAAATAATAAATAATAAGTATAAGTTATTAAAAATACAACAAATAATATTATGCTAAAATTACTTGATATATATCTGATTAAATAAGCAAAATGGAATATGTCTTAAAAACTACCTTTAAGCTCGTACAATAATGCTGCTTCAGCCCATTCATCAGAACCATCACAACAATCACAATATCCATCATTGACCTTATACGATGGTATTCTTGCTGCAATGTTACATATGATTTTTAACATTCCAAATTTTATTTATTTCTGATTACAATAAGATTCAATATTCCATTACTATACCTGCTGATTTTTTAGAATTGGTCTCACAATTGAAGACACCACTATTGCACGCATTGGTACCTGGTTCATCGCTTCCATCCATCGGACAGTCACAATAATCATCATTAATTTTCACAAAATCGATTTCCCTCTTCGAAGCAAAACATACGAATTTTCCGTTAACATTGGGAAGATACTTGGCAATGTCTTGGTCTCGCGTACCACGCAATGACACAGTTCGACCGTTTTTGTCACGTATGAGCTTGGAATGCTGCGGTTGATGCCACTTGGAAGTTTGCTTGCCGACGACCACGTGATTATTATCTCGTAACGAGCCGGCGATTAGTTTGCCCACGATCTCCCGATTCAGTTCTTTGAAGTAAAATAATTGATAAAACACGAATATCACAGCGACTACGAGGACGCATATCAACATGTACTTGAGCTTCTTTCGTAGAAATCGTCGTTTCCAGGACACTTCGGTTTTCATATCTGCCAGCTAATTGTTATTGTCGTTGCAAAACAAATCTCTCCCTCGAATGCGTTTCGTACACTGTACATCCGATACGAGATAATCATAGTGTAAACATTTGTACCGCACCTTGCATAAAAATATATCGAATGTTTCACAACTATTACTTTGCAGTTCGAATGTGTTTTGATATGTCTTCGTTGTGTTCGATAACACTATTTGACTTTATTTACACAAGCATACACATACTGTATACAGGGTGTCCAGTAAAAAAAATTTAGCAAAATATATTTCAAGTGCTGAAAGTATAAAACACGCGGGTAAATGTTTAGAATAACCCTCTCTACTTACATTTTGATATAAATACACTTAATCGATGTCTTTTTCCATAAAAACAAGGGTTTGAAAAATAAAAATCGTCGCTCGATAGTGTAAAAAGAGTTATTAAGCGTTAAAGATGCTACTTTTGAAGGTTAGATAATCTGTCATACCGACAAAATTCTGGCGATATGAGCATGCGCAGCAATGAAAAGATACACGAAATTTAAATAAAAACTGATACTTCCACACGTTCACTATTTATTATTTATTACATCCGTGTAAAGTAAAGTTCACATCGCCTGATGATTTTAATACAACGAGATCTATAATTGTATAATTTCACTTTGGTTTATATAACTTTCCACGCAAAGCAATGTTCAAATGCAACGATGAGATCTATGATTAAAAGCACAATTTTACGTTATTGTACCTTCCCTCAATTATTGGACGCGCATGCACGCACTCATGCATATTTGCACATACACTTGCCATTCACGCGTAATCGCGTACCGAAAGGCCGAATCGCGCAATTATGCAGTAACGTAAAATTGTACAATTATAGGCCTCGTTGCATTTGGACATGGCGTTTGCATGCAAAATTATAAACCTAAATGAAATTATACAATTATAGATCTCGTTGCATTAAAATCACCGAGCGATGTGAACTTTACTTTACACGGATTTAATAAATAATAAATAGTAAACGTATCAATTCTTGGATCAATTTTTATTTTTATTCGAATTTCGTGTATCTTTCCATTTCTGCGCATATATATCGCCAGAATTTCGTCGGTATGACAGATTTCCTAACCTTCAAAAGTGTTTAACACTTAATAACTATCTTTTTACTTTACACTATCGAGCGACAATTTTTACTTTTCAAACCTTTTTTCTTTTTATGCAAAAAGGCATCGATTAAGTGTATTTTTATCAAAATCTAAGTAGAGTGAATTATCCTAAACATTTACTAAAATGCGCAGGTAAAATGAGCTATACAAAGAAAACACGTGGAGCAAATGATATTGTAACATAACCTCTCATTTATTTCGCACAATCGGAAGGGAGATTAAAAAATATAGAAATATAATATTTACAGCTTTTCTCTATGTACAACCTTTTCTACAAAACATACTGTACAACAATGAACGTAGGACTTTCTAAATTGCCAGTAGAAATGACAAATCAAAAAACTCCGTTAGTTTTCGAAGTATTCGCTGAATGTCAAACTACAAAAGCCAGAACTGGCAGGATGACACTTGTTCATCATCATGTGGATACGCCGGTATTCATGCCAGTGGGAACTCAGGTTTATAAAACTTTTTCTTCTTGCCACAAATATTTACTTAAATTTATATACAAGATGATTCGTAATTACCGCGTACTATGTAAAATATTAAAAACAAATCCTTTATTTTAAAAAACTTTCATAGAGAAAGAAGATAATAACTATTTATAATTTTAAGTATTTTGTGTAAAACATTACAATTTTGTTAGGCCCTGCGCACAATAGAGAAAATATTAGAAATAGGAATAAAATATTAAATATCAGGAGGAGCAATTCGGAATTATTTTACTTCAAACAAGAAAACTAAATGGATTAATTATTTCTAATTTTTATTTTTTTATTTCATTATGCGTTAATCCATTCCGTTCCCTTGTTTGATGTAAAATAATTCCAAATTGCTCCTCCTCCTGATATTTAATATTTTATTCCTATTCCTAATATTTTCTCTATTGTGCGCAGGGCCTTAAAGTCCAGATTTTTTGTCATTAATAATAAAATCTTGTTTTCTTGCTCTTGAAGCTTGTTTTTAATGAAAAAAAACTTTTATATTCAATCATTTAAATTGAAAGATTAATGATGCTTACATCTTTTTTTCATAAAAATAAAATTTTGTCACGAAAACAAAGCTTCCTCTATGAGGAAGCAAAATCTGTCTTTTATTATTTGTATTCTATTTATGATTACTGTATCATTTTATTACTGTATATATACAGTAATGTAGATAAATAATAAAATCTAATGTCATCAAACATTGTACAATTTTCAGGGAACATTAAAAGGATTGCTGCCTCAACAACTGGAGCAATTGAATTGTCAAATCATTCTTGGCAATACCTATCATCTTGGAACTAGGCCTGTAAGCACAGAAATCATATCCTATCAGAAAAAAATATTGAAATTACACAAATAATTTTTACTACATTATAACAAATCATATATTTAATATTGATAGGGTGCAGATGTCCTGCGTAAAGCTGGAGGTTTGCATAACTTTATGAATTGGAAAAGAGCCCTTTTAACAGATTCAGGTGGTTTCCAAATGGTTTCGTTGTTACACCTAGCCGAAATAGCAGAAGAAGGTGTTAAGTTTAAATCACCATATAATGGTATTTATGATCAAATATATATTTTCAGATATACATTAAAACATAGTTTACATATAATTTCATTGATTTTTATATAATGTTTTATAGAATCTGAGTGCATGTTAACACCGGAACATTCAATTCAAATCCAAAATGCGATTGGTGCTGACATAATTATGCAACTTGATGATGTTGTTAAAAGTACTTTAACTGGACCAAGAGTAGAAGAAGCAATGCATAGGTACAATTTTCGTTTTAAAAACATTTTTTTTTTTTATATTAAATGTTAGATTACATATACTTAAATATTGCCTAATTTGTAATTAAATGTTATATTAATCTGATACAATAAATCATTTTTTTAGAACAACACGTTGGCTAGATCGTTGTTTATCAGCACATGAAAGATCAAATGAGCAAAGTATATTTCCAATCGTGCAAGGTGGTTTAAATCCCGAACTACGATCCGAAAGCGCACGACAATTAATTAAGCGAAAAGTGAATGGATATGCCATAGGAGGCTTAAGGTAAATATATTACTAGATTATTGGTTAAAATATAAATAATAAATTTAAAAAAAAAAGGAAAAAAAACAAAATCTTATATATAATAATAATTTTTATAACAATTTTAGTGGTGGGGAGAGTAAGGACGATTTTTGGAAAATGGTCCATCTATCAACAAATATCCTTCCAAAAGATAAACCGCGATATCTTATGGGTGTTGGATTTGCAGTTGACCTAATTGTATGCAGTGCGTTAGGAATCGATATGTATGATTGTGTATTTCCAACGAGAACAGCTGTAAGTATTTTATATATTGAAAAACTTTATGTGCGCAAGATATTGGAAAATTAAAGTGTTAAAATGAAACTTTCAGAGATTTGGTTGTGCTTTGATACAAACGGGACAGCTCAATTTGAAGCAAGCGCAGTTTAAAAAAGATTTAATACCGATAGACAAATCATGCGAGTGTAGCACTTGTAAGACTTACACACGCGCTTATCTGCACCAAATCGCTACAATAGAAACAGTATCATGTCATCTGTTAACCGTTCACAATGTCGCGTTTCAAATGAAGCTAATGCGAGACATCAGAGACAGTATAAAAGAACAAAGATTCCCTAGATTTATACAGGAATATATGTTGGCAGTTTACCCCAATAAGGACTATCCAATATGGATAATTAATGCTTTGGAGGCTGTCAATGTTACTCTATTGTAAAACTAAAATTTTTACACTAATATAACTAATTTATTCCTACAATTTATTCTTTTAATTATATTAAGGTGTGATACACAGTAATATATATAAATGCTTGTTACCCCATGTATATAGGCATAAGTCTGATAATAATATCATTTGTTATCAATATACAATATGATCATGGATTAAGCAGTACCAGTGTTTTGAAATTTATAAATAAAAAATCAATCTTCTATTATAGGACAAGCATAGTGTATATTGATTCATACAGAAATATCCCTCTTTTGCAGAAAAGATTTGAAAAAGAGCATATTATAAATCAGATAAATAATCATACCTGAAAGATATTTTATACGTTTTATTCTGCAATTTTCTTCTTTTGCACATTTTTTGCTGGAGATGGTGAAGAATCAGGCACATGTTATAAACAATAATATTAGTTTCATCACATGAAATCATCCGAATCGTATCCACTGTTCTCCGTGTTTGAAGTCATATTAGATGTATTAAATAGAGAATTATAACTTCTAAAAAATATATAATTATTCCTATATTAGTTAAATTGTAATATTTAAAGATAATATGTTGTGAATAATATAACAAAAATTAGAATATTGATATAAAATCACAGTGGTATACAACAGTTTACCTCATCTCTGCTTCTTCCTGACGTCGTTTCTCCTCTGCTTTTTCCCTTTCTTTCTGTTCTCTTAAGAGTTTTTTCTTGTCTTCTCGTTCATTCATATCTCTCTGTTCTCTCTCAGCTCTAAAGTTTACTTGTTCGGAACGTTTCGTCTTGTTAAGCCGATTTACAATGGCATTTATCCGCTTGGCAACATGAATCTTACGAACATCCTTGTCTTTGTGGAAACCAACTTGACCAACCTCCATACCTTGTGTTTTTTTCAAATTTGACCACATTGTATACACTACATCAATATCATTCATTTTGTTTCCTTCAATGCTGTTTGCTTTTACCAATTGTGCGGCATCTTCCAACACAGTGCTGGGAATGTCATCTATTGTCTGACCCTATAATTTAAAAAAAAAAACCCGACATATTTTATATATCATACTTTTTGACATTGATTAAATAAGAAATCTTTAATCGATAATTAAACTTACATGTCGAAGTCGAAGATATACATGAGCAGAGGAATATTTATCAACATGAAACCATACATCTTCTGGCCAACCCCATTTGATAAGGTCTTCATCTATATTAAACAAAATCCAATTAATCATGCATTATATTATAAAAATAATTTTTTATTAATCATGAATAATACACAATATGTTCTATCTTACTCTCATATTTGTCAACTCCCATAAACAGTGTAATGGGTGGCTGTACCACTGTAATGCACACAAAATCAGTATATTAGTCTAACCTCTCAAAATAGTAACAAAACAATATTTTATTAATAATTTAAAGAGACATATAATATACTAATTCCCTATCTATTAAAAATAAATATAATATTGAGAAATAAAAAAAAATTACCTTCACTTATGAAATAATAAACCATTATTGATGAAAATTTCTATTAAAACACATGCGACAAAGTTAGCTGCCAAAAATATTTTGTATGATTTTGTAGCGCCAACGATTGCCAACCAGTGATGCCAGAATGCCCACGCTAGCAACACGCAACCGTAGTGGAGGGGATACGCACCAAGCGAAAAACGTGTATATGTAATGCGCAGAGCGTTCTGCGCATTACATATACACGATTTTCGCTTGTGTGCGTATCCCCTCCACTACGGTTGCGTGTTGCTAGCGTGGGCATTCTGGCATCACTGTTGCCAACAATGGCGCAGTCGCTCTGTCGCACGGTTTAAAACATGAGACATTGGCCGCGTTCAGCAGAGAAAGCGCTCAGTTATCGTCTTGTCAACACTTGACGTTGATTCGTTGGTTCTAAAAGTAAGAACCAATCACATTCGATTGCTACTAAGCGGTTTTCTCTGCTGAACGCGACCATTCGACGATATGTTCAATCCGGAAAAGTAATATATATGTATGTATGCCTGTACATACATATCATACACACACACATATATATATATATATATATACAGTATAATTACGCAGAAATCATTAGAATTTTACGAAATATAAATAAAAATGTGAAAAAAAAAATTTCTGTTAACTCAATCAATATATTTATTTCAACAAAGGCAATTATGGGTGCAATAAGTTCCGCAATTTTATAGTTCAATATATACTTTGTAACATATATTTTTTTTAAATTTACTTTTTAGTTTGGAAAAGCAATATACAGATTTGTGAATTGGATTTTACCAATTCAGTTCATTTAAGAATTTATATTGTGCCAAAATAATAGCTGCTATTTCATATTAAAGCATTTTTTCTCTTTAAGAATTGTTAATAGATAAATTGTACAACGTTGAAAGCAATTTCCGGCACTCTACATAAAGATCATTATGCATAATCAATAGAGCATATTATAGCATACTATGAAATGCATACCTCATGTGGAGGAATGTTATCTTCATACATGTAATATTTTGTTAAATACCAGTAACTATAATTTTATGTGTATATATAATTTGGTAATCATATAATATAACTATAGTATATATATATATATATATATATATATA